TCCATGCGTTTCAACACTATGTATTTACAACCTACAAAATATACAAAAAAAAAAACTAAATTATTGCATTCATCATCATTACTGACTATTATTATTATTGTGTAAGAAATGAATTCAAAATCCATTGCTGAACATATGCTTTCCTAATTAAGTATTTTAAGTGGTAGAGCCACACTGCAGCTGTAATATGACTACAGCATAAAATGGTCAGTTTGACTGGGGAAGGATCTTACACCTTAACAGATTACTAATGATAAATGTTTTGTATGGTGAGTGTAAATAATTAATGACCTTATACTAGTAAAAAGGCATTCAGGTCATGGGTTGCAACTAATTGATTCAGCTATTGTAGAAATTAAAATGCATAAATACACAGACAAGAATCTATAATAATAATAATAAAACATTTATTCATTACCACCAATAAAATTACAGTAAGCAGTACACACAAAAATAACCATAATTACATAGTGTAGTAATGAATAGGCTTCTAGCTCAGCATAAATGTTGCAGTTGCCCACAATGCTGTTATTCTGCCAGCGCCCAACAAATGAAGAGTACAGTAACAGTATCTCTGTTTATGATTTTGTTATTCTAATAGAATAAAAAATTATTGATATTTCTAAATGCAATAATAATAAAAATCTTGTTTTGTTTAAAAAAAGAATAACATTTATTTTTTACAATAATTGTTGAGAGATATTACTCTTTATGCTTCCTTTTTAGTGCATATGATTACACAGTGCCTGCTCATGGCAAAGGGCTGATAAAAACTGATCTGCAGATAGAATTGCCATCGGGGTGTTATGGTCGTGTCGCACCTCGTTCAGGACTTGCTGTTAAAAATTTCATTGATGTTGGTGGTGAGTGCTATTTTTTCACATAAGTCTTTATTTATTATTTGGTCAATAACTGTTCACTGTTGAAAGAATTTGTCAATTTCAATTTCAAATTGTTTATTGCTTCTATAATGTACAGTAAGTACATTAGCAGTTACAGTGACCATTATATACCATGTCGGGCGTTGCAATATACAAGAAATATACAATAAAATAATTAAATGGACTTATAACTATGTAACATCATTATATTATATTTGGCTGTTTTGAAAATAAAATTTTATTTAATACTTCAGATTTTATATTTATGGGTAGTTTATTGAATATTTTAATTGCCGTGTAATATGGACTACAATTGAGCATTTTGGCTCTAGATGGGGGTAAATATAACCTATATTTATGCCTAGTATTTACATTGTGTGTTTCTTTTATCTGGGTGAAGAAGTGTTTATTTTTAAATACGAAGAAGTTACTTATATCTTTTATGTAAATAGAAACTAAGGTTAATAATTTAAATTTAATGAAGTAGGGTCGACAGCTATGTCTGTTATCAATTCTGGCAAGTATCCTAACACATTTTTTTTGTAAAATGAACAATTCATCTGCATTAACACTATTACCCCAAAGGATAATGCCATATTTAAGCCATGAAAAGGCATACGCGTAATATGTGGAAAGTGCCGTTTCTAAATTTGTGCTATGATTAATTTGATAAAGCGCATATGTAAATTTAGAGAGCTTGCATTTAATTTTTTCAATATGCGACTTCAAGTTTAAATGTGTATCTACATTAAGTCCAAGCAAGTTATACGAGTCTATCTCTTCTATTAGGGTATTTTGTAATTGAATGTTAATTTTTAGGGGTGGTTTATTATATGAACGAAATTGTAAAATTTTTGTCTTTTTAAGGTTTGTTTCTAGATTATGGCTATCAAACGCCAATGAGTGACATTATGAAGTGTATCATAGATAAGGGCTTCAGAGCTAATGTTGTCGTTACTTTTTATGAGTATTGACAAGTCATCTGCAAATAATACTGGCAGTGTTGATTCTCTATACAAACATTTTGGCAGGTCATTTACATAAATAAGAAACAGCACACAGCCTAAAACACTGCCCTGTGGGATTGAACTAGTTAGGTGTTTCTCTTCAGAATGAACTTTTATTACTTCATTTGTAATTTGGTTGTAGTGTTCAATTTCTACTATTTGCTTCCGATTATTTAAATAGGATTTGAACCAGTTATGTACTAGCCCACGGATACCCGAATTCATAAGTTTTAAAAGTAGTTTATCATAGGGCACCCTGTCATATGCTTATGTCATATCAAATAAAATACCAAAAGTATGTTTTTTATCATTTAAATTTTGTAGGGCCATTTGTATGAACTTATATACAGCTAGGGTGGTTGATCTTGATTTTCTGAATCCATTTTGGCTATCATCTAGTATTTCATTCTTTTCAGGGAATGAGTAGAGTCTATTACACATTGCTTTTTCGTAAATCTTTGAAAAGGTGGGCAATAGGGCTATTGCTCTGTAGTTGTTTTTTTTATCTTCTTTTTTGTGCAACGGTTTTATTAGTGCTATTTTGAGAGGGTCTGGAAATATGCCATGTTGAAATCTTTGGTTTACTAAAAAAGTAAGGGGATAGACAAATTTTTCAGTGCATTGTTTTAAAAGTGCCGGTGGTATATCATCTACACCAACAGCTATATTTAGTTTTTAATACTATTTTGGATTTCCTTTTCATCAACTGAGGTTAGGTACATGGAGCATGACGCTTTCAATTCGACAGAATTTTTATATTGTTTCTGATTTTTATTAATATTATTAGTTTTACCAATTGCTACAAAATGTTCATTAAATAGGTTAGAAATTTGTATGGGACATGTTATTGTGTTATTATTAATATTTAACATCATGCTTTTGCGGTTTTTTGTTTTCATTCTACCCAATTTGTTATTATGTTCTACATGGTCTTTATTTTATTACTCGAATTTTTCATTTGTTTCGTATTGTAGGTTTTTTTGATAATTTGATACTATGTTTAAGAATTTTTGTGTATTTTTTGTAGTAATTAAGAAAAACTGGACTTTTTGTTTCATTAAGGATTATTCTTAAAAGTCTTTTATGCTTACAAGATTTTTTTAATCCAGTTGTCAAACAGCCTTTATTTTTTTGTTCTTTTATTTTTACTTTCATCATAGGTATATGTTCGTTTAAACTATTTGATATTATTTTAAGAAAAATATTGTAGTTCTCATTTACAGTTTGGTTCTCTTTTAGAATATTATTCCAATCGATGTTATTTAATGAATTTTTGAATTAATTAATGTTTTGTTTTGTAAAACACCCTTTTCTTGTAAATAACACTTGCATTTTGTTTTTAGTCTTAAATGCCACACTTGCCTTGATGCTTCCCCCCCTCTCCAGTCTAGGTATTTTAAATCTGGAAAAACGAAATGTGATAATTATAGCTAATGGGTGGGGGGGGGGGGGGGGCCTATGAAGTCATACATGCCATTCCCATAGTAGCCATTAATTTTATTCACACTATTCTAGTATAGGGGTTTTTTTGGTCTAAAATGGAATGTGTTGTTGGAGAATTTAAATGATTTTTATTAATAATCAATTTTAAGTCCAGTGCCGGTTGTAGGTCTTTTCAAGAATGTGCCAGCAGGCATGCATATCCTGTGAATATGAATAATCCGAAATGAAGAACAGATTTTACAGAGGGGTCATTAATATTACCATTGCTTGGATAAAACACTGTGCTTACATTTAACATTATGCTTTGTTGGTGTAATAAATATTTATTATAATATTTGGGATATACAAATGAGACTTATGTTTTTCTGAAACAAATTTGACACTTAAATGTGATTTAAAAAATACAGTATTCATTGTTAAGAGAAAAAAGTTAACATAGATTCTGTTTTAAAATCTTTTTTATAAAATAAAGGCATTTTGTTTTTAGCTGGTGTAATTGATGAAGATTATCGCGGTAATGTGGGAGTAGTTCTCTTTAACCATTCTGATCAAGATTTCATTGTAAGAAAAGGAGATAGAATTGCACAGTTAATATGTGAAAAAATATACTATCCAGTTTTGGAAGAAGTTACTAGCTTGTCAGAAACTAAGCGATCTGATGGGGGATTTGGTTCTACTGGAACACAGTGATTTTTAGATATAAGAGCTTTTAGACATTAAGTACCTAATATGGCTGTAAAACTTGTATTTATACAAAGCACAGTTCATTGTATACATATATAGTGTATACAATGCACAAGTATAATAATACTTTAGTGTTTTTTTAAATATGAGTCACTTTAAGATACCAGCAAAAAAAAAAACTGCAAGTACTCCATACCATATAGCAAACCAAAATATAAGATACCATGAAACCAATGTGTCCTAAATACTTGTGTATTGTATACACCAAAAATATTACAACATTCATTGTAAATGGATTTTAATGACACGAAACATTTTTACTTTCTTTTAAACTTTTTAAATCAATAAACAAGAACCATAACGTTTTATATAACTTTAAAACGAAAGTATTTCTCTTCAGCGATTTTTAACTGGATGTGTAGCTATCTGTCTTTTCAATTTCTTCTTTTTGACTGCTGGCAATTGGCCTCTAAAGACCATCACAGTACTAGATGTCTTGCACCATTGATGCTACGCCTTGAAGCCTGTCTGCATATATTATCTAAACAGGTGGTTTATACAACTATATATTAAAACCAAGTCATTTTGGCATTTCTTATACTCATTCCTTATAATAGTCAAGGGAGGAAAAAGCTTCCACAGCAAATTAAATGTATACATATACATGTAAAATTTACAAAAAAAAATGGATTTTGATTAAGATCTTTATTGTTTCCAGTATCTATATTGATAAAAAGCACATTGCCCCTTAAGTAAGGTTAAATCTTGATTTTTCACTGTTTATCCATAAATTGTAATGCAACAATAATGTTACATAGTGGTACCACTTTCTTAAACACAAAAAAGTTTGTATTACACCCAATCAACTGCATGTGATTTTTAGTAATAAATAAAAGAAATTCTTGATTTTAGGATTTTTTTTATTATTAAAATACAGCTCTACAATACCTGTTTTCATATTTACAGCATAAATCCAAAAACAAGATTAACTATTATTCTCAAAATTGTCCAGAACACTTGTGATGGTAAGTGTTTCTAAAGATGGTGTCTCATTAGACATTGTTATTAAATCTTTATTTTTTTTTAAAAAAGGTCTGAGTAAGCTTGTGAGTTTATTGTCATTATTTACACCGAAATAAATCTCCGCTTTTTCAACTTGTGTTTCTACTTTCTCTACATTTTGATGCAATATCACAATTACTTCATTTAATGTTACAATTTTCTTGGATAATGTATTAACTTCGCCTCTGTATCTATTAATATCATCAGACACAGATGAATTGCAATCACTGTTTTTTAACTTTATCATATGCACTACACTAGTAAGTTCCTCCAGTCTTGTTATCATATTGTCAATAACTTCTTGCACTGTTTCCAAGCCTTCTGACACATCCAACTTAAAGTACGCAGCGTAATCTTTTGTCACTTGTTCTAACATTTTGGTTAAGATGTTTCAAAATCAGGATACAAAATTTCCAATAAACAGGCTAGCCAATCAAGTAAATCTGACACGAGTTTTGACACTTCTAATAATGAAGACGGAAAACGGCGATAAACTTTGATAAAAAGTTCCATGGTATACACGGACTACCGATTTAATAAAAATTTGCTCTTAAACAATAAGTGTAATTAAAGCTGTTTCCATACCTACTTACGAATACGAACACGGCTTATGAAATTATTCTATTGCAACCACGGATTTGTATTACTTTGATTGCAACATAAAACCATGACACCATTTTATATTTTCGAACGAGTTCTAGTTCAAAACAGAACAACTTAAAAATGTATACTCTGTGGTTCATTAAACAAAGTACAAAACATGAAGGTACAAAGCTCTAAGAACCAAAGAGAATATAATTATTAGTTCTGGACTTCCTTAGGGCCGATATACACTTCGACAAGTACAGTAGCGAATCAACTTGCGAGCCTGGCGAGTTAATTATGGTTCATAAAAAATAGCTTGATCTCTGCGATAGCTGTCAGTAAAAATTACGCCTATGAAGTCCTGAATTTCTTAGTAGTACAGACAGTACCTGTCAATGTCATACCTTATGGGCATGCACTAATTAGGTCGACATTAATTAATTATATGGACTGGGCATACCTACAAAATTAGCGTGACTACCTACAAAAATGTGGCGCATAAAATGGCCGCCTTTTATAGGGTTGTAACTCTGCAACATGCGCAGCTGATATCGATATTTTAACTAATATGAATTTTTTTCTCATTTTATATAATTGGATTTGTTGCTTAATTTACTTTATTCCGTAGGTTTTTACATAGATACAGGGCTGAATATTCAATCGTCAAATAACTAATCTGGCGAATAAATGTGACTGACTGATTTATGACTTTTGTGTAAATAGAAATTAAATCCTTCTTTTGTCTTGAAAGTATTACTGGGATGATGATCCCATATTATTAACGTAAAATAATAATAATTAGTTGAGTAAAAATGAAATAAATTGTTTTAAAAGTTAATGCTTAATTATTATTAATTTTTCTGCACATAATTCATCACAAATAGTAAGTTATACACGCAAGTTGTCTCAAGGAGGTGTCGGATTTATCGTCCACAAGTCTCTCGTCAACAACGTTGTAAAGATTGGGAGTGTGTCGACGAGCGTCGCGTACCTGATACTCAGAATCACCAAACGGTATTCGCTGAAGGTCATACAGGTCTACGCACCAACCTCGGCACATCCCGATGAGGAGGTGGAGGAAATGTATGAGGATATTTCTAGAGCCATGAATTCCTCCGAAACCCACTACACGGTGTTGATGGGAGACTTCAACGCAAAACTAGGCACAAGAGAAGGCGGTGAACTGGAGTCAGGGAAATTTGGAGTAGGGCAACGGAACCGTAGGGGCCAGCAGCTGGCTGACTTTATGGAGAAATAGGGACTCTTTATGATGAGCTCTTTCTTCCAGAAGCGGCCCCACAGGAAGTGGACCCGGTCGAGCCCCGACAGTTCGACAAAAAATGAGATTGACTTCATTATGATGACCAGACGCCAACTGTTCAGTGATGTCTCAGTGATCGCAAGGGTGAAAACCGGCAGCGATCACCGCATGGTTAGAGGCACACTGAACTTAAACGTTAAGTTGGAGAGGTCTCGTCTAATGAAGTCAACGCTCCGTCCGCCTCGTGATCTAATCCAGAATCCCGAGACTTTTCAGCTCGAGTTACGTAACCGCTTTCAATGCCTAGAAGATTGCAATGCAGTGGACGATATGAATGACAAACTCGTGGAAACTCTTTGCGGTCGGAGCTAAGTTCTGCAAGACCCGCCGCAGAAGAACACAAAAACTCTCCGATCACACTCTTAATCTCATGGCTGTTAGACGGGAGATGAGACTGCAATCGTCAACAGATTTGAAAGCATACAGGCAACTGAACAGACAGATCTCCAAATGCGTGCGGCGAGACTTACGCAACTTTAATACTGCTCGTATTGATCTGATGTGATCGAGCGGAACCAGGGCTCCAAAGTCTTTACCAGAGATCTGTCTGCCAGAAAGAGCCGACTGTCAAAGCTGACTGACTGACTGAAAGACTGAGTGTGGCAGCATCGTTTCCGGGACACCTGAGATTTTGAGTGAGATTAAGAGGTTCTATGGGCAGCCGTACACATCATCGTTGGAGCCACACGCAAGTGTGAGTAACGATCCAAGAGCAAGTCTTACCCGACACTATTCCGATGATATCCCTGACGTCAGTCTGAGCGAGATTAGAAGGGCTCTCCAGCACCTTAAAAACGGCAGGGCCCCAGGCGAGGATGGAATTACAGCGGAGCTTCTGAAAGCGGGTGCAACACCGGTACTTGAAGTCCTTCAGAAGCTCTTCAATTCCGTCCTCTATGATGGCATTACTCCGGAGGCGTGGAGCAGTAATGCGATGGTCTTGTTCTTTAAGAAAGGCGACAACGCTCTCTTGAAGAACTACAGACCGATTTCCCTTCTGAGCCGCGTCTACGTGCTGTTTTCGAGAGTCATTACGAATCGTCTCGCACGCAGACTCGACGACTTCCAGCCTCCCGTACGAGCCGGTTTCCGAAAAGGCTTCAGTACCATAGACCACATACATACCCTGTGGTAGATTGTACAGAAGACCGAAGAGTACAATCTGCCACTTTGCTTGCCGTATGTGGCCTATAAGAAAGCCTTTGATTCCGTCGAACTTTGGGCGGTGCTACAGTCCCTTCAGCGGTGCCAAGTTGACTGTCGATATATCGAAGTGCTGAAGTGTTTGTACAGTAGGGCTACGATGGCTATCCGAGTACAGAACCAGAGTTCGAAACCTATCCAACTGCAGAGAGGTGTAAGACAGGGTGACGTTATATCCCCGAAACTCTTCACCGCTGCGTTGGAAGACGTTTTCAAGCTACTGGACTGGAAAGGATACGGTATTAACATCAATGGCGAGTACATCACTCACCTTCGATTTGCCGACGATATAGTCCTTATGGCAGAATCGCTGGAGGACCTTAGCATTATGCTCAATGACCTAATGGTGTCTCAACGGATAGGTCTTAAGATGAACATGGATAAAACAAAGATCATGTTTAATGTCCATGTCACACCTATGCCGGTAGTTGTTATGTGTGGGACAAATAGTCCGACTAGGTAAGTCCAACTTCGACCGAGAGGTCAATCGACGGATTCAACTCGGCTGGGCAGCGTTCGGGAAATTACGACACATCTTCTCGTCAGGTATACCTCAATCTCTGAAAACTAAAGTGTACAACCAGTGCGTGTTGCCAGTGATAACTTACGGATCAGAGACGTGGTCCTTCACTGCTGGCCGTATGAGGACGCTCAAGGTCGCTCAGCGAGCTATGGAGAGGGCTATGCTCGGAGTTTCTCTGCGTGATAGACTCAGAAATGAGGATATCCGCAGTAAAACCAGAGTGACCGACATAGCCCAACGGATTAGTAAGCTGAAGTGGCAATGGGCCGGCCATATAGCTCGAAGAACCGATAACCGATGGGGAGGAAAGGTTCTCGAGTGGCAGCCTCGTACCGGTAGGCGTAGTGTAGGGCGACCCCCCACCAGATGGAGTGACGACCTGGTAAGACATGCAGAAAGTCGATGGATGCAGGTGGCTCAGGACCGTGCTTTGTGGCATTACTTGGGGGAGGCTTATGTTCAGCAGTGGACTTGTGAAGGGCTGTAGTGATGATGATGATGATGACAAGCAAGTTGTATATCATATTTTATTTATTCATTCGGATTTTAAATGAAAAATATTATCAAATTTCGAAAAATTCGAAAATCTGGCATGATCACGAAATATGATATGCAGGATAACATCCTGGATATCATATTTCATCCACCGTTTCATGATCATGATAGATTTTTATATAAACTATTATGGAATAAAACTATTATTTACGGATTTTATCGCGTTTAATTACTTTAATTTATTTTTATTATTATCCCGACGTTTCGGGTGCTTTACAGCGCCCATGGTCACGGGGGGTCAGTCCCCCTAAATTAAAGTAATTAAACGCGATAAAATCCGTAAATAATAGTTTTATTCAATGTGTAGTGTTCGCGTAAATTTAAGAAATCATTAAACTATTATTATTATTTGTTCATTTCTGAACAAAATTATTTTTTAATATAATTTCTATAAGACAGTTTGTCACTGCTTCTTCTTGCATGGTATCTGAACCTTTTTCTGCCACAAATCCCGCAATATATTCTAATACAGCAATTGATAAGGTTTTTTAATAATTTAAATAACGACTCTAATAGAGGCATACTGAAGACCACTCCTGAAAGTTTTTGTTTTTTCTCCCCCAACTAGTAGCGACAAACGTACATATACTGTTATTTTTAATAATTACAAAACTTCTTAGCGTTTTTTTTATTGGCTAAATAAATTACAAAATTATGCATCTTACATAAAGTAATAATTAAAAAGTACATCCCTAACATAACACTTGAAATAAACTGTAAGACACTTATTTGACATAATAAAATATAAATAGAAGAAAAACACCTACTATAAGATAAGATGAAGGCACTGCACTACATAACAAAAAAACTTTTAGCATTCAACAGTTTGACAGCAGATCTACCACAAAACTCAGCGCTTAACATGGCAACGCAGTCACGCATGGATGAGCTAATGACGTCAACCGAAAGTGTTGTCAAAATAAGCAATTGACAAACTGTTGTTGTCTCCCTTTTCTAACGAAGCTACTGCTTTGTATCACAAACAAAAGTATTTTTGACAAGTGTGTGTCGATATTACAGATATTTGTATAACTATTATTTCTATAGTTGAATACGCCGCCTCCATAGGTATTATATCTCTATGCTAATTAGGTCGGCATGCCCATAAAGTACGACATTGACAGGTAGGCGTGATTTTACTGACAGCTGTCGCAGAGACCAAGCTATCTTTTACGAACTATAGAAAATC